AATCTCACATCCACCGTACCTCTTTGTTGGTGCTACGTGCACACTTGGAGATCTACAAAACACCCTTCCTTCTTTCTAACCGTTCAGTTAAGTGCTTGGACTTTATCAGTACCCGGCCCTCTGTAGGCGCCACACAAGGGGCTCACTTAGGTCATCGAAAGAGGACAGAGGTGTGACGAGTCAGCTGTGAATTTTGGAGGCAGAAGGATCACGCAGAACAACCATTCTCTGTAGATCAGGCAGTTTTGCGTCTTTCCGATATGCAGGTGGTTAGTGGTGGTCCGTTTCTGTCAGAAACTTTGGTATGTGTTCACTTAGAACAAGAATCTCCAGTAGAGTAACCTCATTCATTTTGAGATTGGCTAAGTAAGTAAGCTCATTTATGCGTGAATCAGAGCTGACGCAATTGAGGTTTGTCCATATCCTTGGGCGGCAGATCTAGGTTCGCTCCCTTTTCATTTGAGCAAGACTTGCTGCCACTTAACCTGCACCAGCCGGGCAGCGTTTGCATGTGCGCTCACAGCCCTTTCGTTTGAATAGTCCTCCGTTCTCTCCATTTACTCTGGTTGGCCCCAAAGCAAAGGAACGGAACCCGTGAACTCGAGATTCGCTGTTTCTTGAACTCATTCACGGTGCAGATTTCAGGACGAGCCGGGAGTTGCACCTTGGACACACTACATGCAAAATGAACGTCTTAGAACTACTCCGCCAGTGTACGTTGGAAGCATATGAATCATCGCATGTTAACAGACGAAGGCGTTCATTTCGAGCAATGTGACATCGTTAGATTACGAGTAGACACCGCGGTCATTTCGCCAAACATTATCCTTCAGACCACCTGTTCACTAGTCTCTTTGGGAACAACGTATATCGGAAACATTAAGATAAATAACGCTTGGGCTGCCATAACAAAAATATGTTCCCTGGTCAAATGAAACTTCCCATGTCATGACAGCCAAAGCATAGGATTGACGGAAACTCAGGGCCACCCCTACCTGATGAGCAGCCCAAAGAAGGGCGAAACCGGTAGTGTGCTCTCAAGGAGTTTTCAGCAACCATTTGAGTAGTGTATTACTTTTATACATGTATTGAAATATATCGAATATCGTACAAGCTGAAACATGAGGCGGCCTGGTGCAGTACATCAACTTGCAAATATTCGCCTAACGCGCTTCTATCTCCTCTCTGTAATCGCCATTACAATCTCTCGGTATGAAAGAGATTGCACTTTTGAATCCCATCCGACGACTTTGTCTTTTCGTGTGGATTTTGTACTAGGATCCATATTCAAGATTTCCTAAATTCCCATCTCTCCTGCGATACTACTTTGTTCACCTCCCGAAAATAAGGCTGACTCATGAAGGCACCGCCTGAAATAACGACGTCTAATACATGAAAACACGGGGTTGAAATGCGCTCTCCTCCCATGAGTGTCACTCATGACTCAGAGGAAACTGAAGCTTCCACTATCAAACATTCAAGAGTTCCCCCCCATTAAATTCGATACTATCAAGATTAACGGTCTTGTGGATGACTTCATGACTGCGTATCTTCAAGAACCAGTCTTAGGAGTAGAATCTGTGGGCCATTGGAACTATTGGTCAGCGACCATCAGGCATTCTTTACAATAGCCATTTTCAGTCACCCATTGTAGACTAAATGTCTCAAGGTATGGCATAACCAACTAATAGAAAACTGGCGTTTGAATCAGGCAACACTGATCATCAATAGTGATTAGTTTTCCGCTTCATAGACTGCAGCTTTCAGACTCGTTATTGTTACGATTCAGGACGTCTTCTGGAAATTAATGCTAGTAATTCAAATTTGAGGTATATTCTTGCGTGTTTAAGCCGAGGAACTCTCAGGTTTGCAGACACTGGATGAACGTGAGGCTCATCATGGTTTTTAGGCTCAACCATGTACACCTGCCCAAGATGTCCACCGGTTACCTGCCTCCGTCAGAAAATAGGTCAGCCGCTAACATAGGTGACAGTCATATGATGCAGAAAGTAAACTGGACGGATGAGTAGCCTGCTGAGCGAAGAGCTTGCACCTAGTCCCATAGATTTGTGCCCGACCGACAGGTTGACTGTTGGGTCTGATGTGTCTGTGAGGTGTTTTCTGGTGCACTGCGCCAGCTTTTCTAAACCCATTCGTATTTTCCACTAACGGTCTCCTTCGATTACTCACAGAGCCCGTGTCTTCTGCTCTTGGATTTCTTTGAATATTTCCTGAAAAAAGTCAAGCTTTATTCTTTCCGTACAGTATTTCTCATCTTACTCTCTCGACGCTCGTTCTTGAATCAGTTATTGATGGAAAACCTACTTTGCGGAAGCCTCTCTATGGTCCCCTCGTCTGAAAATGGCCTGAGTGCAACAATGGAACTTGACCTTACAGCCGTAAGGTGATGTGATATATAGCAACGTTGCGAAAAAATCTATCCACCTCAGAGAGTCAGTGTTACAAGAGGCGTCTTGCAGACCAAATGATCAAACGATACAACATACAGTAAGATGGGGTGACTCCCCATTAGAGGTCACACTTATGGGATTCACCAAAATCGATTCCTCGAATAAAGCTTCTTGCAACATTGAACATGAAGGCGTTGGAAGTGCTGCTTTGTAACAAGTTTTTGTCAGAAGTCTATCAGAGGGAAGTGGACTCAAACCACCAGCTTCCGGATGAATGTTCTACCGTCCGTTGCACTTATTTGCTTAAAGTTCATAGCAGATTCATCATGATCCCGACTGTTAATTAATACCCGATGGCTACAAACGCTATGAGGGGGCTCATGTGTAGCTGGATTGGGAAGTCGGTCCACTTGCAGACACGTGTTTCTTCCCATGTTGAGAAAATCCAGACTACTTAGTTAAATCCCTTCATGATTCATCACTCCGATCACTGCTGCGCCTATTTCTTTCGCGTATATTCCACCAACCCACAGTAGGTTCTGCGAAATTTCAATGGGAACATCAGCATTTATCAAATGACATTTGTTTTATCCGTGTAATGCTACACACTACGGACAAGAAGTGAGAGTAGTACCACTTCTGCATCCGATGGATGGCTGATTTGGAAATTGCCGAACTGTTTTACAGCATTTTTTATCGAATGTTTGGGATTCCAAAAACGCCCCGAAAAGCTCAAAACGGAGCTTGAGGATGTTGGCCCTCCGAAAACTCCGCGCAAATTAGGTTTATACTTTTGGGTCCGATAGTTTAACAGGTTTCTTCGCGTTTCAGGAGCGTAGAAGCATTTTCCTTCATCCATAACACAACTATCCGTCCACTTTTATCTTCCATTGAACTTGTGTCTAATTCCACTCACACAATGTTTTCTGGCCATAGGATTTTAACATATGAGAAGCATACAATGCTAACCAGACGAATCAAACAAGCCATTCGCATTATTTGATTTTCAATAAAGCGTTTTATTCTACAAGAAGCTGCCTTCTTTGGTACAAACCACCAATTGCTATCTGTCTGGGTAACCTTTCTCGACTTTGACAAACAGGGTTGATTCTGCTTTGTCCCAAGGGCAAAATGCAAGGCAACTGAAGGTTACCCGCAAAACTATGTGTATCGGCGGAAAGTACCGCACATTACTCTGGAAATTAAATATTCAGCGTTTTTTTCCACAAAATTCTGCGCCTCTCGTAAACTCCGGTCTTTTTATAGATCTCATACATTGTTCTTCTCAACGTGCGTACTACTTTAGATGTGGAGACCGTTGTCATCATCGAGCAATTGTTGTGTTACACATCTTTATCGAGGATTCTTTGCCGTTCACTTGAGAACGAAGACAGAAAACGATGTGTTTCCCGTTGGTCTTGTCCCGATAACGAAAAGCAACGCAAAAGTGTTTCGATCGGTTTGGGCATTGCTCCAAATCTGTTCCCAGGTGGCCCATGTCCAGGTGCAAAAAGGCTTAGCAAACCAGGGGTCTCACTCTCTGATTGGACTTAACATCGTAAACCGTTGTTAAGCATGCCGAGTTGTCGTCCTATTCTCCACACTGAATTCAGAATGGCGTTAGCCAAAAAGCTGATCAAGTATAGCCCAGCAGAAGGTGACGAGTTAGGATGGAAAAGTCCTGTAATCGTGGCGAGGTACTGCCACCATTGTATGAAGGAAAGCCACTCGCCGCGAAGGCCGTTCACCAACTAAACAGAAAGGTAGACGTCTCATATGCACCATATTTTTTTTAAAAAATTGAACATCCTCACTCGTCTTCTTGAACTTTCGTGGATAATCACTGACTATCACGCCACTGTAAACAAATGCTGCAAAGCGGTTCCACAAGTTCTGTAATAAACCCCATGGGATGCACCTTCCATTGGACGCGAGGCGCACTTACGAGAAAGACACTACTTGCATACCGTATGAGTAGTATCCTCCGTCACACCATGACTACAGAGGCCACAAGCTATGCTGATACAGGAAAGTCAATGATATACAAGGTGCCAGTCTTGTCGCTTATTTTCTGAATGACTTATGGCGATCAACGAACTGGACCCGATTCCTTTCTGAAGTCCACTTTTCTTTATGCTTCCATATGTTTATATTAGAATTTGCCGTATTGGTAGGGCAACAAATCATCCGTCCTTAATTATAGTTTTGTTATACACGATGGTGATGATGATACTGACGATGACCGCCGGACTATTAGCCCGTTAATCCAACCGGGATATTTATGACAACCAGGGTGGACTACCATTTTCTAATAAGGCTCGTAATAGGTTGGTACAAGTACTGACCACAGACTGACTTCAACAAATGCGTTTC